GTAGAGTGCCCTTCTTGGCAAGTATGTTGACAATGGGAAAGACAGGAAGCCTGACTCAACTATGCCCCTAGTTCATCATTTTGACCATTTTTTTGTTTTAGTTTTCTCCTAAAAAATTTTCACCAAAATGAGAGTTAGATTAGCATGCTTGTTCAATTTTTTGATTTAAAATCATGCAAGTTAGGCTGTGAGCACTGAAAATTTTCCTCTTTTGGGTCCAAGAAATGGTCCAGTTTTGAAAATGGAATACTTTTCGAAAAGGTTAGTCAACCTCAGTAAAAATTCTCAAAAACTATTTTTGCAAACGACCACTGCTCAACGAGCACGGAACCTACTCTCGAGATGCACAACCTCGGATTCGAAGGAAGATTACCCCTTGCTTGAGGGGAACTGCATGGCAACGGAAAGTTGCCCCTTGTTTGAACGGCACCGCGGCGCATTGAATGGCAACGGAAAGTTGCCCCTTGTTTGAACAGCGCCACGGCGCACTGAATGGCAACGGAAAGTTGCCCCTTGTTTGGATGGCACCACAGCGCTTCGAATGGCAATGGAAAATTGCCCCTTGTTTGGATGGCACCGCGGCATTGTAGGCAGTCCTCAGAGCGACGAACACAACCCGACTCGCGGATACAGAGAAGGCAAAGATGACCAAAACCATCGCATGGACACGATCGAATTTGAAGTGTTTTACGGCTGGACTTCAGAATGAAGTTGCCTACGTATCCCAAAGATGGGAATCAAGCCTTACGTAGTTCGGGGTTAAGGTACACTCGGGTATTAACCTCTCCTTTTTAGGCTCTAACTTTTGCCAAGGCGCCTGTTGCGGGTTTTCGACCTTGCGAGCTTTGTTTTTCTTTTCTTTTCAATTCTTTTCATTTCTTTTCTTTTTTTGATTTTCTTTTTTTTGTTCTTTTCTTTGCATTTTTCTTCATTTTGTTCTTTTGTTCTTTTCTCTTCTTTTCATGCTCTAACTTTTGCCTGGGTCGCCCTTTCCGGGTTTTCGGCCTAGCGAGCCTCTCAAAGGGTAAAAGTGTAGCGAGTCCATGCCAAATGGTTTTGAGATCCTGAAATTATCTAAATCCAAGAGAATGGCTGTTGTTCTAGCTTCGCAAGCTTCTTTTGATGATATCTGATCTTCTTGATCTGACTTTCTTGCCTCTTGTTCGAGGGCCGCTTCAAATCTGGCCACGCAGGCCTCACATCGTAGTTGACCGTCGAACCTTCTGATTTCAAGTTCAAGGTTTGGAAGCGAAGGGGTTGAGTCTCAAGCAGCATCCTGCTGCATGAGTTTCATACTTTCTTGCATCTGGCGCATCATTGCCTCCATCCCTGACGTGTTCTGCTGATCCATCTGACTGGTTGGTATCTATCCCTGCAGTAGAAACTGAGACCTTAGCCTGACTGTTCACTGGTGGGTGTGAAACCAGTCTGGATCAAGCCAGGGTCCTTCTCAGTACTCACGCTAACAAGCATGATTTCATTCATTAAGGGCTTGGCACGCCTTTCTTTCTCTCAATCGATCAAATTTTGCAAAACCCGAGGAATTCCTTCCCCTTCGTTTTCACCGCAATGTTCAAATATTTTTGGAAAACTTAGGTCAATGCAATGAATTCAAGGCGCAGAATAGTAGGTGAAAAGTACTGCTGTTCTATTCAAATTTTCTGGCACAATTGGCGCACGACCGAGGCAAACACAAGAGTGTGAAAATTACTGCTATTTCATTCAAATCTGTTGGCACAACTGGCTCCCCGGCAGAAACAGACTCAAAAGAAAACAAAATGACAAACACAAAACAAAATAGTGATATCCAAAGTAACACCCCCGGAATCACCCGACTCTAACAAAACAGGACTGACTCGATACAATAAGACAGACCCTTAATCAAAAAGACCGACTCAAAGCAAAGAGACAGACTCGAAACAAAACAACAAGATTGACCTAATACCCAAGTCAGAAAGCACAAAAGCTATCATTCGCAAATGCTCAAAACAGTGCATGCCATCCACCATATCTGGAGTAAACTGAGCGCTGCCCGCAGGTGGTTCATCCCCCCAATCACATCACATTATCCCCTAAGTTCACTGATCAAGTGCCGATAGACTTTGCAGGACCTGGTGCGGGGATGACCCTGTTGTCGATCAAATCTTGTATTTCGTGGCGGAGACGAAAGCACATGTCAGTGTCATGGCCAGCTCGCTGATGGATGGCACAGTAGTCGGCTGGGTTGTGCGAGAGAGGGAGGTTCTTTGGTAATGGATGCGGCTCCAGGGGCTTCAAATGCCCTTTCTTGATCAAAGCCCCTAGAGCCTTTGACAAAGGCATATAAAGTGGGGTGAAAACCTTCTTGGCTTGGGGTGGATATTTGGCTGCTTGCGAGCTACTCCCGAATGCACCGGTGAATGGGGTGGTTGTTTTTGGTGCGGTGGCGGTGACCATGCCCACTTCGGAAGATCTTACAGCTGCGTCACCGCTGGTGGTCGCATTCGAACTGCGGGTAAACGCCCTCCTGGGCTGTTCCTTCTCCTGGTCAAAGAGGCCCTGCTTCATAGCATCCTCGATCTGCACTCCCATCTCATGCAAGTCTGGAAAGGTAAGGAAGGGGATCACGATCATTTTCTGCATTAGCTTGGGCTGGAGATTGCACACAATCATCCGAATTTGATCTTTGTCAGTGGGCCTAAGGGTCATCATTGAGGCCTTGGTCCTCCAGCGGGTCACGAATTTTGAGAAGCTCTCCTTCGGCTCCTGCCTCATCGTCTCAAGATCACAGGTCGTAATCTCGATTTGGGTATTGTATGAATATTGTGCGACGAAGGCCTCGGCCATCTCCTCCCAGCTTTGTTTCACTGAATCCTCCAATTTGGCATACCAGGTGACTGTAATACCCGACAGGGTCCTGCCAAAAAAGGGAGAGCTTCTGTAATCTTGTCAAGCCCATCGGGCACAAAACATCTGAAAACAAGCTCAGGTGGACCATGGGATCTCCTGACCCATCAAAACGGTCGATGTGAGGCATTTTGAACCTGTCCGGCAGAGTTACAGCTGCGTCGGTGTACCCGTCCCCAATGCCCGGGATGGACTTTACTCCCTGGGATTTTTTGAACAACTTTTCAAGCTTGCTCAACTTCAACGCTGTGGGGTCGACCTCGAACTCGAAGGGAGAGTCTGCTAGATTGGTAGGTGTTTTGGATAGCTGGGGTAAAATTGGGGACGGAGCCGGCCCTATCGGAATGTCCGTACCTTCCTGGACATTTGGCGTCTCCCCAGCTGCTGGAGCTCCTGCTGGGGGAGGAACTTGTTGTGAAGCGGACGCGCCGCTTTGCTGTTGCAGCTTGGTGATGAGCTCGGCCTGCTGAGCCATGATCGCAGCCTGCTATTTGGCAAATTCCTCCTGACGAGCAGCATCCTGCTGCATGAGTTTTATACTTTCTTGCATCTGGCGCATCATTGCCTCCATCACTGACGTGTTCTGCTGATCCATCTGACTGGTTGGTATCTATCCCTGCAGTAGAAACTGAGACCTCAGCCTGACTGTTCACTGGTGGGGTGGATAAGGGCCGCTGACCTGGTAACTGCTGAACTAGTGATTTGTGCCCGACTAGCCCTTTTTACCTTGCCTCTGGTAAAGGAACACTGATTGCCCTTGAATTGAATCTCTGACCTAGCAAAGTCTATCAGCACAAGTTCGATGAACCTCGGGGGATATCGGAGCCTTCTGAAGCTATGGTTCCCAGACTACCTAGCAAAAGAGAAAACAGACAGCATCTCAGCCTGATTCCATCTGAACGGATAGTAGAACGACTGTATCAATACTGATAATTGTTCCCCAAATATTTGTCCCAAAATTGATACCCTCGGGTAAAACTGATTCCCCAAATACTGATGCTGATGCCCACAGGCCTGATACCCAGACTTGCAAACTGATACATGCAATCC